ATGGCCTCCCCTGGGAGCTCTGCGATTCCTGGGGAGGAGGTGGGCAGGTGCTCCTCTAGCTGAGGGCTCCTGCTGTCCTGCCTCGGCCTCCACAGTAGCTGAGATTACAGGGGAGGGGTGTGCCAGCACACCTGGATATTCTTGAATTTTTAGTAGAGATGCGGTTTCACCAAGAACCTAGATGCGGTTTGGCCAAGGTGGTCTCGAACTTCTGACCTCAAGTGATCCGCTTGTCTCAGCCTCCCAAAGTGCTGGGATTACAGGTGTAAGCCACCATGCCCAGCCCAACCCATTGTTAAATTATGTGCAAAAACATCATTCACAATAAGCATTTGGGAGCACAAAAGCAGACGTTAAACAGCATTTTCTCCTCCTCCTCCTCCTCTCCTCCTCTTCTCTGCTTTCTTCTCTCCACTTTTTTGTTTCTTGCCATCCCCTCTGACTGGTTCCCTCTTCCTCCAGACATCATGGTCCATGGTTCCCTGCCATGCTCCCTTCAAGTTCTCTCTCAAATGTTCCAATACCCCTATGAGAAGGCCACGCCTGCTTCTCTACCCAGCGTGCTCCGCCCTTGCCTGCCTTGACTTCTTCCCTGCAGTCATCCCCGCCTGACCTCAGATGGCATGCATATCTTTGTGTACTTGTTCGTCTGTTTCTACTGCCACACCAGCTCCGCAAGGCAGGGGCTTGGTTGTGTTCCCAGCTGCAGCCCAGTGCCTAGCGCAGGGCCTGGCATGGTGTGGAAGCTCTGCAGAGAAGCTGAATGCATTCACAGCAGCAGGTGTGGAGCCAGAGCCGGCATCTTCGGTGCTGGTACCCACCTCACATGGAGCAGAGCGCATTCCTGGACTCACCAAAAATGCCCTTCTGCCATCCTACCCCCAAGAAGTTTTTGGGAGTCATCTCCCTATGTGGGTAGCCTCCCTCTGCTTTTTCTCCTTCCTCTCTTCTCCGCTCTCTCTGCTCCCTTTTCTTTCAGGAGCAAATAGAGTACCTCCACACACACACTCTGTTTCCACCATCTGTGTGCTGGTCCCTGTTGGCCACTTTGCACACAGGTCCAGACACCCCAAATCCTATGGAGGTATTTTCCCAAACATATTCCTTTCTTCTGTCATTCTGGTGAGAGCTATTGGAAGAATTAAGATGTCATGTCTTGGCTTTTTTTTTTTTTCTTTTTACAAAAAGACAGGGAAAACATATTCCACGTATAATACAAGAAAATGAAACCCAATATAAATGTCTAACAATGACAAACACACTTCAGACATTCTATGGGCAATTATGCCACCATTTTAAATGACAGTATAACCATATTAAAGACAAAGGGCAAAGTCCCTTAATATGAAAAGTGCTTTTACAACTCAAAAGCAAAAAGACCAAAAGCCAGTGAAAAAGTGGACAAAGGCTATGAACTGGCAGTTTATGGAAAAGGAGCTAAACTTTTGAAAAGATGTTCAAACTCATTCATAATAAGAGACATAGGCCGGGCGCGATGGTTCACACCTGTAATCCCAGCACTTGGTGAGGCTGAGGTGGGCAAATTGCATCCGCTGAGGTCGGGAGTTTGAGACCAGCCTGACCAACCTGGAGAAACCCCATCTCTACTAAAAATACAAAATTAGCCAGGCATGGTAGCGCATGCCTGTAATCCCAGCTACTCCGGAGACTGAGGCAGGAGAATAACTTGAACCTGGGAGGCGGAGGTTGCAGTGAGCCAAGATCATGCCACTGCACAACAGCCTGAGCAATAGAGTGAGATTGGCAACACTTCCGGTTCCCATCCTTAGATTGCCTCCAAAGTTTTATAGTGTTTGCATTTGCATTAGTTTGCCTGATCTTTACCCCAACTTTGTTTTGTATGGAAAACAGAGTGGAGACGCTGGGATGTTGTATTCATTTCCTAGTGTTGTCACGGTGCTGCTGTATCTGCTGTCACAAAGGGCCACAAGCTGCGTACATTAAAACAACAGATATTCATTCTCTTGCAGTTCCAGAGGTCAGAGTCTGAGATCAAGCTGTGGTCAGGGCCAGGCTCCCTCTGAGGGCTGGAAGAGAGGGTCCTTCCTTGCCTCTTCTGGCTCCTGCTGGCTGCAGGCAATTCTAGGTGTCCTTTGGCTGCTACACGCATCACTGCACTCCCTTTGAAGTCCATGACTGTCTTCTCCCTGTGGGTCTCCGTCTTCACGTGCCCATCTCCTTTCTTATAAGGACACGAGTCCTATTGGATTCAGGGCCCATCCTACTCCAGTGTGACCTCATCTTCACCAGTTATATCTGCAACAGCCTTATTTCCAAATAAGGTCACATTAGGAGGTTCTGGGGGTTAGGACTTCAACATATCTTTTGTGGGGAGGCACAATTCAACTCATAACAAATGTGAAAAGACATGCTAAGAAGTTATGACCGGGTGTGGTGGCTCACACCCATAATCCAAAACTTTGGGAGGCCGAGGCAGACTAATCACTTGAGGTTAGGAGTTCGAGACCTCATCTCTATTTTTTTTAAAAAAAGGAGGCTGGGCAAGGTGGCTCACGCCTGTAATCCCAGCAATTTGGAAGGCTGAGGTGGGCGGATCATTTGAGATTGGGAGTTCGAGACCCACCTGGCCAACATAGTGAAACCCCATCTCTACTAAAAATACAAAAATTAGCTGCATGTGGTGGCAGGTGCCTGTAATTCCAGCTACTCGGGAGGCTGAGGCAGGAGAATCGCTTGAACCCAGGAGGTGGAGGTTGCAGTGAGCTGAGATCACACCACTTCACTCCAGCCTGGGCAACAGATTGAGACACTGTCTCAAAATAATAATAATAATAAAAGAATAAAGAACAACAACATCAGCAAATGAAGTTTTGCTGAATTTTCCTCAGAGGGGAAGAGGGTATGGGTTTGGGGGTCTGAGGGGGCTGACCCAGCGCTGCAGACACAGGACAGCCCTTATCTGATTCAGGAAGAAAGCACGAACCTCAGCATATTGTGAAACTCTTCCAGCAACCTTCCCCTCCGCCTGTCTGCATTCTTAAAGGATCCACTGCCCCTCACACTTGCACAGCACTTTAAGGTCGATCGAGGCACTGGGTGGGCAGGCGTTATCTCATTCAATCCACGAAACACATTTTGTAGGATAAATCTGCATATGTTCATTTTACAGATGAAAAGCCAAGGTTTCGAGAAATGGAATGGTTAGTTCATGGTCATGCAGCAAATACCAGGTGCTGAGAGCCCCAGTCTGTCTGCCGTTCACACCAGCTACAGGTCCACCTGGCACTGTGCTTCTGGAGACAAAGCAGGTGGGCATCATAGATGGCCATTCTGGGCTATGGGTCAGCAAGGCTTGCAGAAAGCACGCTCAAAGGGAGTTTGGATACATCTGAAAATCATCAGACACATCTAGATACATCTGAAAAGCCCATTGCTTTTCAAGGTTTATTTCTCTCTTAGAGAAAAGGAAAGTGATTTGGAGGGACCATGAGGCTCCAGGAGCTGCCCCCCGTCCTCCCTGCCTCCTACCACGCCTGGGTTTTAGAAGTTGGAAACCGCAAGTTTTCAAACTGCTTTTTATGTCTGTAGAAACTTCGACCTTTTACAAAAAGGAAATATAAGAACCTGAGCTTATAAAATGGATGCAAATGCTACTGAAGGTAGGAGCCTCTCCCCATCCTCCCCAAATGACCACCCCAGCCAACTCCATGTCGTGGCTCTCTGGGGAGAAAAGCAGCTGAAAACCACATGGGAATACAAAAAAGCAAGTAACGAAGCGACACCCACGTATTCACCTATTATGAGGTTAAGTGTTCCTTAGAAATGACCTGGAGATTTGACATTAAGGAACAACTATTTAAATGTTTGTAGTATGCTGATGATATTGTCGTTTTGTTTTTAAAAGATGTCTTATTGCCATTGGGTTGGGGTCTCCACGGCCGAACTGGTCTCAACAGTTATCTTTTAGTGCATTCTGAAATACCTCAGTGGAGGTGCTATGCTGTCTGACATTTGTTTCAAAATAACCAGTGGTGGAGATTGGGGTGGTGACTCTCCAAGCTGGTGACCTTGGGGTGGTGACTGTCCAAGCTGAGCGTGCTTATGTGGGGCTTCATTATATGAAAACCCACAGGTGCTTCATTATATGAAAACCCACAGGTGAGCGTGCTTATGTGGGGCTTCATTACATGAAAACCCACAGGTGAGCGCGCTTATGTGGGGCTTCATTACATGAAAACCCACAGGTGAGCGTGCTTATGTGGGGCTTCATTACATGAAAACCCACAGGTGAGCGTGCTTATGTGGGGTTTCATTATATGAAAACCCACAGGTGCACAAGGCTCAACCTAATTCTGTTCCTTCTACTTTAGGATGTGTGTGGAATTTTCCAAATAAAAAAATTGTTTAGGCTAAAAAGTCTGAATTGTGTATAATGAACAGTGTGACTTATGTAATTCTTTTAAAATCAATGAAAAGTTACAAAGAAAAAGACACAGAGAGAGAGGGCTGGCTCCGGCAGGTGACAGGAGCTGCGCGGGGAGGGGAGCACAGCCGCTGACCGCGTCCTCCCATCCAGGCGACCCCCATCTGCCATCCTCTGAGGACCAGCAACTCTTCCTCCAAACTCCCTGGGCCGAAGGCTGCGCGCGCTCCCCGGCCACAGGCGCCCAGTCCGCTCACCCGGCCACCCGTCGGCCACCCACCCGGCCACAGGCACTTCCCGCCCCAGGCCCTCTGGCAACCCCTCCACCCCTCTCGGTGCAGAATTCGAAACCCGAACCACCCGCTTCCGCAGTCCCGCAGTATGCGGGGCACTCACCCTCAGCGCTCCCGGCTCCTTCGCGATCTGTGCGAAACTGAAAGTAGAAGCCGCCTAGAGCTGCCCGGCCTGTGCTTGGAACCAGCTGCAGTGCTGAGAAATCACGTGGATTCGAAGTGCCAGCCCGAACCAGATGGGCCTGTGGGCGCGGGAGGGCGGGGACCTAACACACACGCTCCCCGCTGCGACCACACCCTGGGACCTCCCCGAAGTCCCGCATCGGACCCAAGGACAGTCCCAGGAGACTTGGGCGCGCTCGCCCCTTTTGTGGACAGGAAATTGAGGCAGGGGAGTGAAGGTGGGCTCACGTGTGGAGCGCGGGTGGGTGGGGACCTGGACTGAGACCCTGTCTCAGTGTCTCAGTGGAGACTGGGTTGGATGCAAGGGGGATGCGGTGCGGAAGGAGGGGACTTAGAACTAAGGGCAGAGCAGAGAGCGCTCCAGGATGAACCAGGAGAAGGGAATGACAGCAGCGTTCCTTTCCATTAGTAGAGCCCTTGGCGGGCTGACCCGGGAAAGGCAGTCTACCAGTTTATCTCGTTAAGTAACCGTAAAAAACAGGTATCGCCCTGTTTTCCAGATGAGCAGCTGAGGCGCAGGGAGGACAGAGGTGAAGGAACTTGCCCCAGTCACAGGAGGAATCACAGGCAGAAGAGGGTGACGGAAGGAGGGGGGCGGGAAAGCAGGGAAGGAGAGGAGGCACTGGTGGGGGCAGAAGGAAGGAGAGGTGGCTCTCCCAGGATGGAGTCAGGGGCCGTCCTCAAAGTCCAGCTTCAGCTTCTCCAGGTTTTTGTCCACAGCCTGGGACAGGGAGCTCCCTTGCTGGATGTATTCATCCTGTGGGCAGCAGTGCCTGTTAGAAAGGCCTTCCACCCACCTGTCAGTGACATCCCACAGGAAAGCAACTTTCACTCCCAGACCACTGGTGCTTCCCTGCCTCCCAGGCCTGGGGTGGTGTGGGTGTGAGGATGCTGCAAGGTAGTGGTCAGGAGACAAGCATCATCAGACATCCTGGGTTCAAGTCCTACCCTCCACCTTACCGTGTTAGAGAGACCCAATGCCTTGACTCCTCCGTTCATCCTGGAGTGCGCTTCTGGGCCAGGAGTGGGGACTCTGTTTTGTTTTGTTTTTTGAGATGAAGTTTCACTCTTTTGCCCAGGCTGGAATGAAGTGGTGCAATATCGGCTCACTGAACTTCTGCCTTCCGTTTCAAGCGATTCGCCTGTTCATCCTCCCAAGTAGCTGGGATTACAGGCACCTGCCACCACTCCCGGCTAATTTTGTATTTTTAGTAGAGGCAGGGTTTCGCCATGTTGGCCAGGTGGTCTCGAACTCCTGACCTCGTGATCCACTTGTCTCCGCCTTCCAAAGTGCTGGGATTATAGGTGTGAGTCCCCGCACCTGGCGGGATTCCCGGGTTCTAAGTTCCCTCCTGCACAGCATCCCCCATCCCCTCCAACCCAGTCTCCACCTGGGGAAGGGGTAGGGGGGAGTCAGCCCGGGGTCCCCGCCTACCCAAGCTGGGCAGGTGAGCCGACCTTCACTGCCTACCTCAGTTTCCCATCCACAAAAGGGGCAAGAGCCCTAGTGTCTCCTGAGATTACCCCTGGGTCTGTGTGCAAGGGCTGAGGGAGGCACCAGGATTCGGGCTCTGCTGGGAGTGGATGTGCCAGGCCCCCACCCATCCTGCGCCCACATCCCCATCTGGGTCCAGGCTGGCACCCCGGTTTTGCCAAGATGGGGATGGTGTTAATGCTAACTCCACAGAGTGGTTGTGATCATTTGATGACTTAATGTTGAGGCTGATGCAATCTGTACCTGAAGCCCATAAGCTGCCCTTATATTTTTGTCCCCTTCTACAGGCCCCACGTCCTCATGAGACTTAAACTGCCTTCCTCCTAGGACCAACTCAGATATCTACAAATTGCATGACAGCGGAGTGAGAAGGGCACAGACTTTGCAGTGACCGCTTCTGTGTGACTCCCAGCTTCACCACTCCTGGTTGTGTAACCTCAGACAAATGCCTTGACCTCCCCTGGCCTCAGCTTCCTCATCTGTCAATCGGGGTGTTCCCAGCCTCCTCAGGCCACTGGTGGGTGTGGTGGGAATGGGTGAGAATGTGGGTGTGAGCTGTATGCTTGGGAGGGATTGATTATGTTCCAGTATCAGGACTCAGCTCATGTTCACTGAGCACCGATGAAATGATTGGTCCTACACGAAATCCCAGGAAAGACACTGGCCTGCTCCCTGTGCAGGCAGGGGAGGACAGACAGACACATGGACAAATAACCACAATCCAAGACACAAATGCAGACCATTTTCAGATGCATTTCATTCTGAACACCCTCGTGAGGAGGGCAGGACAAAGATTATTATCCCATTAGGCAGATGAAGAAGCTGAGGTCCAGATAGATCAAGTCAGTTGCTGAAGGTCACACAGCAATCAGAAGGAGAGCTGTGTCTTGAACCTGGAACCCTTTTCATTCTGGGGGTTTATTGCCAAAGGATTCTGGAAGGGCGACCTCCCCAAACTTTCCCTGTCCTCAGACTGGCTTGTGACCCAAGAGTCCGCTATTAGCACATCATTCCTTTGGCTAAACATGTGCCATCTCCCCCAGTGTCAATCAAGTGGCTGTCAGTCATTTACACTTGAGTGTGAAGAAGCGAATCAGATTTTATGGGTTGGAGATGAGAAGGAATTTGAGTGTTTGGACTTTTGGGTGGGAAACTGGAGATGTGAGAGGAACGGTTGACACCACAGAGAACTCAGGAGGTGGGTGGGGAGGGCGTTAACTGGGGGATGGAGAGAGCCCACATGCCCTGGCCACCCCTGTGTCCCTCACCTCCATTAGGTATAACCAATATCTGGCATTTGTGGAGCACTTAGGATGTACCAGACACTGGGCCAGGCACTGTGCTTTTTTTTTTTTTTTTTTTGAGACAGAGTCTCACTCTGTCGCCCAGGCTGGAGTGCAATGATGCGATCTCAGCTCACTGCAACTTCTGCCTCTCGGGTTCAAGCAGTTCTCCTGCCTCAACCTCCCGAGTAGCTGGGGCTATAGGTGCATGCCACACACCTGGCTAATTTTATTTTTATTTTAGGAGAGACGGGATTTTACCATGTTACCAGGCTGGTCTCAAACTCCTGAGCTCAGGCAATCCACCCACCTCAGACTCCCAAAGTGCTAGGATTACAGGCGTGAGCCACCATGCCGGTCTGCTGTCTCCTTTAATCTTTTTTGTTTGTTTGTTTGTTTGTTTTTGAGACAAAGTCTTACTCTGTCACCCAGGCTGGAGTGCAGTGGCACAATATCAGCTCACTGCAACCTCCACTTCCCAGGTTCAAGCAATTCTCCCGCCTCAGCCTCCGGAGTAGCTGGGACTACAGGTGTGCACCATCACGTTTAGCTAATTTTTTTGTATTTTTAGTAGAGACAGGGTCTCACCATGTTGGCCAGGCTGGTCTTGAACTCCTGAGACCGCCTGCCTCCGCCTCCCAGAGTGCTGGGATTACAGGCGTGAGCCATCGTGCTCAGCCTCTCCTTTAATCTTTACGGCAACTGTTATCTTTCTTTTTACAGGTGAGAAAATGGTGGCACAGAGGATAACACGCCTGAGCTCACACAGAGGCAGAGGAGCTGAGCTGTGGACCCAGGAAGGCCATCTCTGCAGCCTCTGCTCTTGACGACCATGGGCTCCTCCTCTGGGCTAACCCAGCCCTTGCCAGGATCCTACATGGAAGGTATTATCATACCATTGAACAAAAGAGGACATGGAGGCACGGAGGGCAGAGGGGCTCCAAGATGGCAGATTTAGTAACTGGGGTGAGAGGGGGCTGGGATTAGCCTTCCCTTCACCCTTCCTGTTTGCCAAACACCTGGGCCCCATCCTGCCCAAGGTCAGCAGCCCGGGCGGCAGGATGTGCTTCTGCCTGGCGCTGGCCTTGGGGAGCACTTGTTTTTCCCTAAAGGAAGCAGCAGGTGTGGCCTTCTTTTTGGAACTGGCCCTGACTGGGTTGGAGCCAGGCCCAGCACCCCCTCCCCCGCCCCTGTCAATCCTGCATCAAGGCTAGGTCAGATCTAGGCTTGCATGGAGGGGCTGGAATTTGGGAGAGGGGCTTGGAGGTCAGTCCCACTTTTGTAAGCCTCTCACCCTCTGGACTCCATAACTCCTGCTAATTGCACTTCTTGGATGGGACAGTGACATGGAAGTACCTCCCAGCTCAGTCTTGGGGAGACCTCTCCAAGGACAGTGAGGGAAGCTTGGGGGATGCCCCTACCCTCCTTTCTGGAGCACAGCCCTGGGGTCTCTGGAGTTTACAAGGGGTAAGACGCAAAGTGACTTCTCTGTCTGTCCCTCGTACTAATAAAAGTTCCCATTCAAGAAAGAGCTGCCCAGGGATGCCAAGTTATCCGAAATCTGTCATTGTAGCACCAACAGGTGTGTGTTGGGGGGGGGGGGGCTTGGCCCTTCCCACCCCCTTCGAGGGAACATTCTTGGGTGGGATGTGGCTTCTAACTGGTGTCACCACCTCAAAGGCCAATATCCCATGACCTAGAATTTCCACAACTGCCCACCATAGCACACACCTGTTGGTGCTACAATGACAGATTTCGGATAACTTGGCATCCCTAGGCAGCTCTTTCTTGAATGGGAACTTTTATTAGCACGAGGGACAGACAGAGAAGTCACTTTGAGTCTTACCCCTTGTAAACTCCAGAGACCCCAGGGCTGTGCTCCAGAAAGGAGGGTAGGGGCATCCCCCAAGCTTCCCTCACTGTCCTTGGAGAGGTCTCCCCAAGGGCATTGGACTCGGGGACTGGCGAGACCACCTTGACTCCTTCTGCCAAGGCCCTTTGAGAGCTGCCCGTCCCGTCCTTTAGTGCTCGTGCTTAGTAAATCAGACTCTTGCGTTACGCCCCAGGGTGGGGCCAGGGGCTAGGGGAAAAGCAGGCCTCAGAAAGCCCTTGGAGGGGCAGGGAAGGGCTTGGAAGAAAGCGGACTCAGAATATGGGGCCCTCCCCTCACATCTTCCCAGACTTGAACGGGCGTCTTACTTCCGAGCTCCTTGTAGCCCCAGCCTCCTGGCCGTGTCTCCTGGCTGCTGAAATACAGGCCGTTTTGCCACCTTGTGATGTGACCCTGCCTGTTGTTTGGGCCTCATCTCTCGCCCCTAGCTTTTTGCTTTCATTGCCACACCAGCCCTTTTGACTGTTCTTGAATCCATTAGGATTCTTTCTACCCCAGGGACCTTGCATGAGCCAGCATCTTGCTGCGCTTCCTCCCATCGCGCTTGGCTAATCTGAGGCATTTTCTTTACACACCTGGAAAAAATAGAGCCTGGTGACTTCCAAGACTAGGATGGTTGGAGAAAGTTTTTGTGTTGTAGCCTGAGGGTGGGAAGAAGAAGACACAATTTAAGCATAAGGAGGTGAGGCGGAGGCTAGGCACGATGGCTCACACCTGTTATCCCAGCACTTTGGGAGGCTGAGGCGGGTGGATCACTGGAGGTCAGGAGTTCGAGACCAGCCTGGCCAACATGGTGAAACCCATCTCTACTAAACATACAAAAATTATCTGGGTGTAGTGGCAGGTGCCTGTAGTCCCAGCTTGTTGAGGGGCGGAGGCAGGAGAATTGCCTGAACCCAGGCGGTAGAGGTTGCAGTGAGCCAGGATTGCGCCACTGCACTCCAGCCTGGGTCACAGAGTGAGACTCTGTCAGAAGAAGAAGAAGAAGGAAGAAGAAGGAAGAAGAAGAAAGAGGTTTCTCTTCTAGAATAAAGTGTTTGCCTTTTTAGAGGCTCTATCTTCCTCTCTTTCTACCTCTGAGGGCACCTTCCCCTCACACTATCCTCAGATCTGAAGCCCCGGTTCCCCCTCACTTCCTGTCCAACACTGAAACCCCATGGGACAGAGAGTGTGTGACAGCTCATGCAGGAAGCTGGTCAGACGAGAAGAGTGCTGGGCTAAAGGGGATAAATTTGGAAGGTACTCAGGGACCTGATCAGGGAGGACCCTGGGTCCCAAGTAGAGAGGTTTGAATTTCTTCCTCTAGGCACTGTGGAGCTTGGAGGGTTTGCGGGCAGCTGCCTTGGAAGGGCTGAAAGGAGGTGGACGGTGCTGGTGAGACACATCTCTTCCCCCTCCCTCTACCTCCCAGCCACAGAAGAAGGACTCTCCAGCTCTTGGATACAGCATTTTAATGCCAGTGGGCCTTTAGGACAGGGAGGAGGTGGGAGCCAATGTCTATCTCTGTGCTCCCACCCTGGCCCACCGTGATGGAGGAGACACCAGGGCTCCAGCTGTGAGCCTGGTGCTTGCCTTCTGGTTCAAGCCTCACCCCCACCTCCTTGGAACTTCTAGCTCAAGCTCTGGAGGAAATCCACCAGCAGGTGCTCAGGGAAGCCGAAATCCATCTGCAGCAGCAGGAAGCCCTAGAGGGAGAGGCCGGAGGAGAGAGGGGCAGGCTGGGCTGACTTCCAGGCCGCCAGGAGGGAGCCAAGCTAATGAGAGCCCCTCTGCCTGTCTCCCCAATAGGCGCCAGTCACCCTGGAAATCCTGTCTGGGCCTCCCTCCCCAGGAGACAGGGGCTAGCGAGGGGGGCTTTGTACTCACATCCTGAGGGATAATCTCAGGGTTGATGATGTCGAAGAGGCTCAGGCCTTTGCTGTTCATGAGGGCTGTAAACACTGCCTCCAGCCCTGGGACAGGGGACAGAGCCCCCCAGTCAGCCCTTCTTGGGGAGCAGGGCGGGCCTGAGGCTCCGCCACCCTGGGCAGTGGCAGATGCCGAGACCTCTTTGGACCTACATTCTGTAAACATGTTTTTTCACTTTGATTTAGAAGAGTGGGCCAGTGCTTCTGAGGATGGGGAAGAGCAGAGTTTGCCTGCTGGTAGCGCTTGCCACTCTGCTGCCCAAAGAAATTCCACTCTGTCCCAAACTTGAGCTCCCAACCCACCCACAATGGCCACATGACCTGCAGTTAGCTGAATCTACCCTGCCAGGAAGGAGCCTTCCCCACACAGCCTCTCAAAGCGTTCTTTGCAACCACACAGAGTGGCCTCCTTGCAAGTAGTTGTAGGAATGGCTTAATCCGCTCCCCTCTGGTTTTAGCTCCGTGGTTCAGATGGGGAAAATGAGGCCAAGAGATGCCAAGACACCCCACCAGGATGATTCCATTTCCACGCCCTTCTTCCTACCTAAGCCACGTGGACAAGCAGATATTCTAAAGGAAGGCACCGTCAGCTCAACATACTCTGTGGGGAAGGCGGCAGAGAGCTCTCAGCAGAGCCTCGTCCACGTGTCCACACCCCCAGCACACGTGTGCCATGATGTCTGAGAGTCTACCGCTTGAGTCACCTCAAACGGACAAATATTCTACCATTTCAAGGTCAAAAGGAAAATTGGGACCATGAAGTTCAACACTCCCGTTTTACAGAAAGGGAAACAGGTTCAGGGCTGGGCTAGAACTAGGTCTCAGCCTCCCAGCCCAGGGCTCTTTCTGCTATATCAGGTTGCTATTAGGAAACCTGTGTCCTGAAAGTGGGCTGAGCCAACCCATGGGGTGGTAGAGATAATATCCTGCAGGTAAACCAGAAACACGGCTCTCTGCATCTGGTTGAGTCACTGGCATGCAATGCCACCAGCAGGGAGAGGGAAGGGGGCCCAGACTGCTAAGTTTCAATGCCTGGGAACAGGGGCACCTGGAGCTCTGCCTGGGAACGGCCCACAAGGGGAATGGGAAGCTCGGTCAGGCTTGGCACCCCCATTTCCCCTTCAGCCCACACTTACGAGACATGGCCTCAGGGATGCCCACAGTGTTGATCATTGACTGCAGGAAGCTCTGGGCGGACTCGGAACTGCTCTGCTGATCAGAGGCCTATGGTGAGCGCCCCCTGGAGCACAGAAGTGACCCACAGGGCAGATGCCACACAGCTTGGGCAAAGCATTCATGCCCATCTGCAAAAAAATACGTCCAACCCACTACCTCTTGTCCCAGACAGTGCCTCTCCTGAGTGCTCCCTCCTTCACCCTGGGGAGGGCCGGGATTGCTGGCCCATTCCACAGAGGGAAAACTGAGATCCAGGGAGGGGCTGCTTGGCCAGTACTCTTCTGCCCAAAGCCCAGTCCATACCAACACGCTCTCATTTTTGTAACACAAGAGCTCTCCCAACGGACGTGGCAGGGAGAAGAAGGGTCACAAGAGACACGGAACGGGCCGCTTGGTCCAGATTATTTTGATCTTGTTGCCCGCTTTCCTGAAGGCAGGAGATCCAACAGGACTTATTTCTCCTGGTCTATCCAAGGCCACCTACCTCAGTCAAATTGGAAACAGTCTTTGGTGTAATCCTGAAATAAAAAAGAGGTGAGAATTTGACCCTCTGTCAGGCCCCCTCCTGTAACATCCACCGGGAAAGAAGCTCTAGGAATGACAGCCAGTGCTTCTGTCTCATTGCTCAGGCCTTTCTGGGGACTCTCGTGAGATTTGCTGTTCCAGCTGCCAGGCCCTGGCTCAGGCAGCGCTCTCCTCCTGCCGGGCCCTTCCTCCATTCTTCCTGGTACCCCGCCTTCTTCTGGACGAAGACTCCCTCTAGGTGAGGGTCTTATCTCCCTGCAGTCAGGCCATATGCCCCAGAGGGAAGGAGCGCTATTTCCCCACCAACACCCGTCCTGCGCCTGACTCCAAGGGGCTGGAGAGAGGTTTGCAGAGTCGACCGCCCCCTCTTCTCTGCAGCACATACTGGAAATCCAAGAGGCTTAAGAAGAGCTTTTTCTTGGAATAGGAGGCCTGGACGGTAGTTATGATATCCTGGGGAGAGAAACCAAATTTGCTGTGAGCCGGGGCTTTCCCTGAAGCAGAGAGCAACCCTCCTAGCCCAGGGCGCCTGATTCTTTCCATTGAGGGACCATGGGAACCAGGCTTAGCTATTGCTCTTCTGAGGAGAGTTCCCTAGCACCTGTGGCTTTGGAGTTAGGACCTGAGAAGTCACATGGGCACTTTCTGTTTTCTTTTCTTTTCTTTTTTTTTTTTTTTTTTTTTTTTTTTTTTTTTTTTGAGATAGAGTCTCACTGTGCTGACCAGGCTGGAGTGCAGTGGCACAATCTCATATCACTGCAACCTCCGCTTCCCAGGTTCAGGGGATTCTCCTGCCTCAGCCTCCCAAAGTGTTGGGATGACAGGCCTGAGCCACCATGCCTGGCCCATGCCACTTTCTCTCCTGGTTTCTGACTTATCCACATCCCCAGTGGTTTCTTCCTGTTTGGTCAGAAACAGGCATGGACCTGGGCTTTCCTGCGTAGCTTTCCCTCCACCTCCCAAGTAAAG